TATTCAAATCAGAGCTATCATCCATAGCAATACCGTGGGAGCCTGTGGCGAGGACAGGGGACCAATCTAAAGAGCTGCGGACACGAGTAGAGGAAGTTCAGGATCTGAGGGATGAAGAACAGCAGCATGGTCTTGCTAAAGTGAGACAAGATGCCCACCACAGCAAACGTCATCCCAGCAAAGTAGCAAAAAGGTGTCTCCCACAAACACCTGGGATGGATACCTGCCAAGGACAAAGATGCAATAATATAGCAATTGTATTGATATACATGTACCTTGGATGTTCATCAGTGTCAAATAGTGAGAAAATAAGCACAACAAAATCCCTTTTCTTTTATAGATACATCAATGCATATGAATTTGTGTTCTCATGTTCAATCATACTTGTTAACTGACTTTTCTCACTCCAAGCAGTTAACTTGTGGGCCAAGACTATATTTTATTAGACATACCATAAGGATAAGATATACATGTATATAACTTACCAGTTGTAGCATAAAAGTGCAAAGGAGACAGCACAAAACGGAATCATGAAGTACAGGGAAAAGATGTGGTCTTCACTGAAGTCACCTGCATTAAAGAAATAATAAAAGGGGTCAATGCAGTATTCATGAGCAAAGACTTTGTCTCGACTCGCATTATTTCCTTCAACCAAGGAGGTTTCAATCAAAAGGATTTTAAACCTCCTTGCTTCAACTCTTATCCCTTGCATTTTACAAGTACAGTACAAAAGTTTGAGAACAATGTACCTGAGAGTTCAAGTAGATTAAAAATGGTGATTGACAGCCCAATGATCAATGACTGCCCAGTCTCCACACCATTGATACCAGCCAGGATATTTATTGCATTGGTGCAGAACACAGCCAACATGCCCATGTAGACATAGTACAGCAGGCCTGTGAAGGGAAATAGAGAGATGTTAATGACTGTGTGAACATTTCTTTAATGTGTAAGATATTGCATTAAGGACATGGTGGGATCACCAAAACACAAAGCACTCTAAGTTGACAGCAGTTTACACATACACACACACATGGCAGTGCAATTTCACATATACACTTAGTATATGTGACAATTTCACATATACACTTAGTATATGTGACAAGTATGTGGAAATTGTCTTACCCAGGTCTATAGACAGTCCTAAGAAGGACCTGAATGGCTTTGGAACAATGATGGTTGTGAGGTCAAATGTAGTGAAGTAGACCATGAGGAGGGGCAGGGAGGCGATGGTGGGCAGCCACAGCTTGTGTCGCCACTTCAGGGCCAGCGCATCATCCACAAACCCCAGGAAGATCATACAGGAGATGGACAGGAGCGCACCCAGGAACTCTACAAACTGGGGAAACAATCATGGTGCTGCCTCAAACTGGTAGCCAGTCTATGGCTTGCTCATGCATGAATAATTGACTTAAACAAACAGACAGACAGACAGATATACATGTAATATCCTGCAAGCATAGTCTGACTTTTTGCCATTTCACCATTATTATTCCAAAGATAAGATGACACATACATCTGCATGTGGGAACTCATGTTGTGTCTGTGGCTTGACTGACACCCAGTACTCCAGGAATGGGAAGGGGATGAACAGGAACATGATGATCAGGAACATGGCTCCACTTATCATCCCTGCTGACTCTGGGCTGCAAAAATAAAACAGCAGAATCAAGTTAGATCATAAACAGCTGACCCAGAGGGCATGATGGACTGACTCAAGCATGAGTGGGGTCAGGTATATAACGTTACATACATATACCAAAATGATGAAAATTATACACAATGTGACTTTCATCATATGCAGTTCGTCACTTGAGGTAGCAAAAGTATAGCTTGTAAAAGTTGTATATTATTAGTTGAACAATTGTTGTGTGCTTACATCTCCTTTTGGACAGTCTTGTTGAGATCTTTCCCTTTGAAGCCAGCCTTCATGAAAACTTCTCCAAACTGGGGGATGACTTTGAGAGTGACCAGCATGCCCAGGGCAGACAGGCAGGTGCTGATGACCAGTGGGTAGTGCATCGTGGTCTCTGGAGTATAAACATCCAAACTGTGCTGTAAGGACAAGATTACATTAGGAAACAAATCACTTTTTGGTACAGATGATTATTTCTGGTTTTAAATCAACAGGCCAAATGCAGCCTGCCAAATGTATCACAAGGCCAAGGGTGTGAAGGCCAAGGGTTTCATTTTTTTAGATATTAAATATCGATCAAGATATGATATAACGTTAATTATACTAAAATACATTTGGTTTGCCTGACTTTTTTTTAGAAACGCAAATATGTTAGGATGAAGGCTCTACTTCGGTAGGAAAAGTGATTGCACATGCAGAGTCGTGATTAGATTACTAAAGCAGTTTTAATACCAGACTGACCAATGAAGTTGAGACCACCACCATGCACCACGATGGATCAAGACGTTCCTACAATGCCGCTACTTTCGGTCGAGTTGGTTGTTTTTGGTTCCACGAGGCGAATCAACCTATAGTTTATACAGTCTCCTGCTTGATGACGTGTTTGTAAATTCACCTGAATGATGTAAGGTTGGTGCAAAGTGTCGCAGACTAGATGGACCTCCTACTCCTGCAGTGCGACTTCTGATCAGCTGATGAACCAACCTTTGACCCGTGGAAACGTAAAAAATATCCTTCCGCAGGAGCTAACAGGCTGCTGACCCCTGACACAATTTAGTACGGCACAAGTAATCGATTCAGTACCAGAACAATAGTTGATGATCATAAAATATCACCATAGAACTGCGTAATTTCAATACTTTTATTGAAAAATGTACAGAATCAGTCTTTTGATGAAGAAGCCTGTGTTTTAGTCGATGGCGTAAGTGTGTTTTTGGAGTGAGTGCTGCGGTTTGCCGTGTCAGACTAGAGTACGTGGCCGTCGCCATCTTAGGGGAGGAGAGCCGGTGTGTGCACGAAAGTCAGCCTGAAGTCAGCTTCTTCTCTCTCTCTCCGACGTCGTTATCACCATGGTAAGTACCGATTCTTTTAGCACATTTTCAGCATTTTTATGTGACAGCGCTTGTGGGTGTGTTGTTAGTCGAAAAGTAAATCAACGCTTCTGCCTCTTTCGTCAAGCTACTGCTCAAGTTGTGGTCACGCTGTTGTCAACGTTTCATGAATATTACTAGTATATCTGCATCACATCTAGCTATTCTAAGGATCAGACGTATACTTCACGTTCTGTCGTCATCTGAAGTGTTGCTGCCATCCCCGGAATACTTCTAAACTAAGATTTCGGTGCTAGATTATATTGTTTATACTGAAATTCCGTAATGCTATGCAAAATGCAACCTGTGAAGGTGTTTCATAAATTTCGTATCTTTTTGTAAATTGTAGGTCCTGTTGGCGGCTGCAGTTTGCACCAAGTCCGGGAAAGGTAAGGAGAAATAAGCTAAAAGAAAAAATGATGATGTTGTTTGGAAATGGAAAACGTAAATTATGATGTTTCCATATCTTTAAATTATCATAACAATATCAGTCGTAAAAGTTCCTCCAGTCTTCCGATGAAATATAATATGATATAGATTTTAATTTGAGAAATATGTGCTGTGACATGTTCAACTCACTGCGTATTCCAGTGGTTAGTGACCCTCCCTCTGGACCAAGAGGTCTTGTGTACGAATCTAGGCTGTTGTTGCTTACTTGATGTGCACACAACTCTCAGAAAGGGTCTCAGTCGGACTGTCCTGTGAATGAAACATTAAGCCATGGTTCACTGTTCATTGTGCTAAACTGGTTATTGTTCTCTTCCTTTGTCAGCCATAATTTCCCGGCAGTTTGTGGAGATGACACGATCCCGTATCGAGGGTTTGCTGGCTGCATTTCCCAAGCTGATGAACACGGGCAAGCAGCACACGTTCGTGGAGACGGAGAGTGTGCGCTACGTTTACCAGCCGTTAGAGAAGCTGTACATGCTTCTCATCACCACTAAGAACAGCAACATCCTGGAGGATCTGGAGACCCTGAGGCTCTTCTCAAGAGTGGTCAGTATTAAACTACATGTATTATACATCCAGCAAAGTGGTTCACAATTGTAGTTTTATTTATGATCAAATAATACATGACTGACCTTGTAGGTCTGTAAACTCATTGTTGGCCTGATATCTGTAAGATTGCTTCACCCTTTTGTTGACGTTCTGTACTTCTTTTCCAGATTCCTGAGTACTGTAAAGTGATGGAGGAGTCAGAAATAGTGGACCAGTCCTTCCCTCTCATCTTTGCCTTTGATGAGATCGTTGCCCTCGGTTACAGAGAGAATGTGAACCTGGCCCAGATTAGAACCTTCACAGAGATGGACTCCCATGAGGAGAAGGTGTTCAAGGCTGTCAGAGAGGTACAGAAAGTAGACTTTGTATACTAGTATCTTTTCAAGGATTTGTATAATGCATATAATCAACTTGGGACAAGATCACCAGAAATTAATTCATTTGGTTTTCCAAATAAAGGTATTTATGAAGACAATTATATGTTGTGTCAAGCAAATGCATTATAGCTACTTCATTTCTTGCATGACAATTGCTTGTTCACCCCTAGTCTCAAGAGCGTGAAGCCATCCAGGAGATGAAAAAGAAAGCCAAGGAGCTGCAAGCTGCCCGACGGGAAGCAGAGAGGACTGGGAAGAAGACTCCCGGGTTTGGTGGGGGATTTGGAGGTGGTTCTCGCTCATCTGGAGAATCAGTTCCTGTCATGGCTGATGATTACAAGCCTGAGCCAGCAAAACCTACATACACAGCACCCAAGTTAGTTGGACTTGGGTTTTTTTTTCTTCAGTTTTTGGACATTTCGTACCATTAATCATTTATACTGGAGTAAGGCAAACCATTCATTTATCTGTGGTGTAAATGTTTGCTGTTTTGTGACGGACAGAGAGAAAGAGAGGATTGTGAATGAAGATTGTGCTAAAATGTATTTTGTTCGATGCACTCCACCAGACCCAGCCCATCAGGCAGAGCCATGAAGCTGGGTAGTAAGGGTAAGGATGTGGACCACTTTGTGGACAAGCTTGTATCAGAGGGCCAGGAGGTGGCCAGCACCAAGTCATCCAGGCAGTCAGCTCAGGCCGCTAAAATAGCCACTCCTGCTATTCACACAGAAAGGTAGGTGGTCATCATATCAGACAGCACAGGAGAGGAATCATTTTTAGAAATATGTAGAGTAGTTCATCTGTACAGCAAGTAAGTTTCTTGTTGTTTTTTTTTGTGGATTTGCTTTAAGAATAATTGTGTTCAAAGTTCAAACCATGCTAAGGCCACACCAATTTAATTTGTTTGTTCTCGGATTTTTTCATGAAAAATGTAAAGCGACAGGGCGGAAAAAAAAAAAACATGCCCAAATGGTAAAGCTAAGGCTGGAAAAAGGGATTGAGAACAAAGCTATGACTATACATGCTAAAACATTGCTGTTTTATAGCCTATGTATCAAGGATCAATTATTGATGTTATTGATTTCTAATTACTAGTAACAAGAATTAATTTTTTTTCTTTTCATTTTGCGATTTTTTGAAGCGGCAATTCCGAGAACCAACAAATTAAATTGGTGTGGCCTAAGGATGGTCTAGAGAATTGCATTGATGTATACATTTGAAGCAAACACTTGCTTAAAGGTTAGTTGAGTAATGTAGATGAAATTTTTGTTGGCACATTTTGAATGTGTACTCTAACGTATCTGCTATACTTTTCCAGTGTCCATCTGCGTATTGAAGAGAAGGTGACTCTGACAGCTAGACGAGATGGTGGCCTGGACAACATGGAGATCCACGGGATGATCTCACTCCGCATATCTGATGAACAGTATGGCAAGATCATCCTCGCTGTAGAAAACCAGGAAGCTCGTGGAGCACAGATACAGGTGGGGATACTGCGTCTGTATGATCCATAATATGCCTGGAAAAAAATTGGCACCAAAACATGTCTTGAACTGGTGTCAGTTTTCTCCCACAAAAGCAATGTTGTAGCTAGCAAGTGTGACACAAGAAGGAGGGCCTGCAAGCCCTTTTTTGTAAGGCGTAATCAGGCCGTTTTAGACTTCATAATTCGTAGGCAGCCTCCACAAAAATCAACGTAATTCGTAATTGGACATTAGCCGCAAATCGTAAAGTCGTAATCAGCTCTGAGACTTTAACGTAATTCGTAATAGGCGGCGAAAATTTTGCGTAATTCGTAATCACTACCCCCCCTTGCAGGCCCTCAAGAAGGCATTTGCAATAGATTTATTTATTTGGAATTTACTTAAAGTCCAATTGCTCACTTTTCCTCACTGTACATTAAAGGCTTCACAAAGTTGATGATAAGGTATGTTTCTTTTTGTAGACACATCCCAATGTGGACAAGAAGCTGTTCCAGTCAAAGTCAGAGATCGGCCTGAAGAATCCCAACAAACCATTCCCCATCAACAATGACATCGGGGTGATGAGATGGAGGCTGCAGTCCAATGATGAGTCCCTCATGCCATTGTCAAGTCAGTACAGCAACAGTATATTCTACTAAATTTCAACAGCGTACACCCTTTTATCAAGTTAAGGGCATTTGCAGAAAAAAACAAAGGGGTATAGATTTGTAGATGGCTCAGAAACTTAACATTTGGAAACTTAAATTGTTAAGTGCCTGCTGATTCGAGACATAATTAAAAAGCAAAGTTTTATTGTCTTATCACCATTTGAAGTAACAAGATGGTTGTGGTTTGTTGCAGTAAACTGCTGGCCCACTGAGAGTGCGGATGGATGTGATGTTAATGTGGAGTATGAGTTGGAACAGGAGCAGCTGGAACTGAATGATGTCGTTATCTCCATTCCTTTGCCGTAAGTACTGTTGTGCTCTGCTCATGCAGACATTGTTGTTAAGGACTAAAACCATGATAAGCAAGATTATAGCAGTAAAACTGCTTTCCCATTGCCATTACATACTTTCAAGTATGTATACTCATGTTGAAAATATTCAGTCAAATTCAATGAGGGAGGGACTAGTACATGTGTTGCAACTAATATACCACTTTCTTGTTAACAGTATGGCTTCCTCTATATTTTTCTACTTGTAGTTTTCTTTCCTCATCAAAGAAAGATAATGCAATTGACCCTTTTGACATGACATTGCTCCTTGTATATTCCTGTTGGTGGAACTTTATATTGTCTGTCCCTCCCAGGTCTGGAGTTGGAGCACCAGTTGTAGGTGACCTGGATGGAGAGTACCATGTGGACAGCAGGAGAGGCATGCTGGAGTGGAGGCTACCTGTCATCGACGCCTCCAACAAGTCAGGCAGCCTGGAGTTCAGCTGTCACGGCCACTCCGATGACTTCTTCCCAGTCTCCGTCTCATTCGTATCCACCAAGTCTTACTGTGATGTCACGGTAGGTTTTACTTTACATTACTCTTGTTGATGAGAGGTAAAGCCACTTGTTTTCCTAAAACACCCCTTTGTTACTTATCTAAGAAACCATTATCATGATTTTGTGCCTTTGCAAACTTTTTCACTGGTAATGCTGAGAATACCTTTGTATGGAGTTACCACTTTACTGTTGTACACAGGTGAGTGGAATAAGAATGGTGGATGGTGGCCAGCCAGTCAAGTACTCATCAGATACAGCATTGCTGGTGGAGAAGTACGAGATACTTTAACATGGTAGAACAGATGGATGGGACACAACAGGGGGGAAAGGCCATCCAATAGTCGTCAATTAGAATGAAAATGTACTTTCGGACTGATTGTAAATGTTTCAAAGTTGTAAGGGAAACAGAAACAGGACAGGATGACTGGGGGGGGGGGGATAGGGTACGAAATAAACCTGTCACATCAAGAACATGGTATGGTAAATAGACAATTATGTAGTCAACATGAAGAACTTTTTCAGTTGTTTCTATATGCTGTAGTCAGCATTTCCTCTCCAGCAGCATGCTAGTAGTATATTTTATTTCTAACTGTAGGTCTGTCACATCAGTATGAAAAGGCCTGTTTTACATTGTGCAAAGGAATACAATGTGTTTACAATGCATTCCATCAGACTAATGCAGAATGAAATGACTTTACACGGTACGTACTGCAAGATATATTTGCCTCAGAGTCAGAATCAGATATGGGCATCACTGCAACATGATGATTGTAACATAGTATAAAGGTCATCTTTGCATCACTGGTACTACCAACACAACCTTAACTTGTGCTACATTAGCATGCAAGAAATGACCATAGTAAATGTAGTTTAAGTTCTTGATCTTCAATAGTGTCCGAATACCATGTTCTTAATTTATTTCAACTGCACCTGATTTTGTGACACTTTTCTTGTCTCACTGTCAGCAGAACTACCGACAGTGGTACTTGCCACAAAAGCAGAAGTTACCTACAGTATGATAAAATGGGTCAGAACTAGAAGATTAGAGAATTTGAAATAAAACAAATATTAGACATATGAATAAAATCAAGATTCCCTGATGTGGATATAGTGTACTGTTAAAGCATTTTGGATGTTACATTCTGACAGTTACGGCTCGCACTCTGACGAATAATGTTTAAAAGTGGCAATAAGATGTATTATTACATGGGGTTAGGAAGACCAGTTTTTCACTTTCAAAACTTGAGATGCAAAAATTTTTTTCATCATTTGGAGAGATAAGTATTGGATAAGCTAGGCTCAATGACTTGGACTATAGAATGATTTTAGATGCACTTTTGTTAGAAGGGACAATACACCATACCTGTAGCCCATGATAATATACATTTGTAACTGTCAGAGCATTATGCACATCCTGGTATGTCAAGATGATGTGTGAAGACCCTAAATCTAATATTTCTGTATCTACCTTGTATATTGCTATAGCTATGATAGTATTAAGTATGAAATAAAAGTGTATTTGGAACCATGATTTTTCACCATTCATTTGGGTGTACATGTGTATTACTACCTTCGCCAAGAAGGTTGTTTTCCGTTTATGTCTGTGTATGTGTGTATGTATGGGGTTTAGCATGATAACTCAAGAAGCTTTTGATGGATTGTCATGAAAGTTGGTAGTTGGGTAGGTCTTGATGAGACCTTAAATTGATTTGGCCTCCTGGCAGCTTGTTATGGTACTGCAGTGGAACTTCCGGATTTAATATTTCTCGATCTGGACATGCAAGGGTTATGAATTTTGGATAGTATTGGTAGGCACTCGGCCAATGGCAAAGCTCAACGATCTTCAGCTCTCTCTGGTTGATTTTGCCATCCCCAGGACCCAATCACTTCTCTTATTTTTATGCCCATTAGGATTGATATAGATCAATGGATTGTATATCCTGATTGGCTATTGTATTTTTCAAATTAACCAATCAGCTGCAATTTTGCTTGTCACCTTATGACTTTATGATTATACCCGCTGGAGGTCGCTTTTAAGCATCCAATGTAAAATCCCATTGTAGATTTTCTCACCCTGCAATAATTTTGTATTCCGCTAAAGGGCGCTTCTGTTACGCGGTCAAGATGAAGTTCAACAATGGCGACCATTTGGGTTGTTCTGAGTCTTCTGATCTTTAATGCATGGACAGAAACAAGGAGTTGTTGCTCAATAAAGGTAATTTCAAGTTAAATTGCATCGTCTGTGTAGTTTATATACTTTCTAGATGTCATGACCTTATTTGCATAATCTATGACAAGATATTAGAATAGTGTTCTTTCTTAAGATAAGGGTGAAGGATATGATCAAATGATCAAATGATCAAATGATTCATGCAATTGAGGCTCTTATTTGCGAAATAAATTAGTTCCACCAGAAGGGTTAACATTATTTGGTGAGGGTATGAGGTCATGGATCTCTTTGTTATACATGTATCTCATACTCATAGCTATCAGTTGACAGTGTACATGATAAGGTTTTATGTTCCACTTCTATGTAAACATGTATGATGTTCTCACCCCTGTATCTGTCAAACTGTTAAGACTTGGACTTGATTCTTGTACCATTGGTACTGATAATTAGGATGCATCGATTGTAGAATTAAACCCTCTCCCCTTCTATGCAACATTATCAACAAAATCTAGAACACTTGGCAAAGCACAAATCTGTCAGACATATTAACACATAGTATGGCTACATTTACCTAGGTGTCCCTGAGAAAATTTCCGAACACAGGATTACTTATTGATATACCGCAACAACTGTGAAGAATTTCTCAGACATTTCGAGTTAGAATCTTTAATTTCATATTCTTATAACATACGAGTCTGAGTGAGTGACATAGCGCACCCAGCGATAAGGAACATAGGACTGTTCATGGTCAAACAACCTCAAGAATCTAATCTGCAGGCGGGAGCAGATATACATGGGCAGTTCAAACTTCAGGCTGACTGGGCCTAACTCCAGCCTCGTGGATGGTGTTCTGTTTGCTACTGCCAGCTGTAGAAAGGGATAGTAGAGGGAAAATACTTAGTAATAAATGCCACAAAAAGCCAACATGTCCAGAGCAATCAGATCTATATAGCAACACAGCTTAGGTCATGAGTTGGAGTTAGTGAGATGTTATGATTGATTTAAAAGAAATAGAAAACATGAGGGCATAAAGGTAACGGAAACAAAGTTTCCAGTCCTACATCAAAACATGGAGGTAGAAAATGTGATTTTTTACCTCCATGATTAAAATAACTATTATCAACTACAGGTTGAAAGACATCAAGGCAGAGCAACAATGCTGCAACGCTGACCTTAAATCTGGCTGTGAGCTCTGTGGCACCTGGGAACTTCTTTATGTTCCATGCCACCACATGTTCCTGTGCCTTGAACTCTACATTTTGACCTGGGCCACTCAACTGGTGTGACACACTGTCAACAGAGGAGAAAAATTAGTCATTCACTTTGTCTACTTACAGAAAAATCTGTTTCAAGTTTCAAAAACATGAATCATACACTTGGACATTTACCTGGTTGTTGACTTTGGAACGGGAACTCTGACCATCACATTGACAGCATGACTGCACAAACAGACAAGAAGTACATTTCCTATTATTTCAAGTACATTCCTGAGTTATTTCATGATACATGTACAAAATTATGATGTAAACATTACCAGCAGAATCTATGTTATCTACATGCTGGACAGTCAGGAATTGAATATCAGAAATTGATATTCTCAAACATTCAACAATAATGAGATGATGACCTTGTAGAAGGGACATCACAGAAAACCTTCAGCACCAGCTCCATGTCCCTGTAGTTAACAAAGTGTCCAGAATTTATGTTGATGATTTAACTCGATGTGGCTGAATGTACTATCTAACGTCACATGTTATTTATCGGCAAACATCACCAACTGCAAAACCTGACCAGAGAAAATACTGCAGTACTTAGACAGTATTTAGGAGTGCATAAAATATTGCTTAAGACAGAGAAGGATGGAGGAAGCTGGTGATGGATGTGAGCACAGTCCCCGACCCTCCAGACAAGGATAAGATAGGGTGAAGGTGTGACAATTTTGCCAGTCTGTGTGCAACATTTAGTTGTTTCCATTGATAATCTGAAGCTATGCCACATGAGTGAGGAAGGGAAGGCGTGCAGTTTGGCAAGTAACAAGTAGGTGGCGTTACTAGTTCAATGGGGAATGCTGGCAGATTGCCAGTAAATGTAGGGAATACTTTAGTAGGGTTTTTGCATACAGTAAGAACTTGTGTCAGCTTCTTTGTTTAACTTCATTTACAATACTAGTGATTTACATACAAATGAAACAAATCTGTCAGTGCAGTTCAAAGTGGATACAGCTACCATATCAGTAGCCAACCTGCATTTTAAAAATGCCGCTTAAAAAAATAATATACTGCTTTTCATGGAAAGCTAGCAGAGAAAGGTAACAATCAGATAACAACACATGTACAGCATTAGCAAAAAACAAGAAACAACGACATTGATTGATTCTTCAATATGTAAACTGTGAGTTAGAAAGACCCGTCGGGGACTCAAACTTAATCCACTTCCTGCTGCTAAATCCTATGATTGATACTAGATTTGGTACAAAAAGACTACCCCAGAATGGAAAAGCCTAAAAGATGAAACCCAAATCATCTATCTATGGTGACCCAAAATGCCATAGATGACAAATTGTATCTCTGAGTCACTCTATCAGGGCTGTACAGTGTATTTAAAAATTCTACTGTTTTGCCAGCACAGCAGTGAGGTATAGGTTACTGTGTATTTCCCTTGAAAAGTCTACAGGAGAAGTTGGCAGCAGTGGTTGATTGAGACACAAGCTGCAGGGTTAGTTTTTTAGTGGATTGTGTCTGACCTGGTGCTGTCCTGGTCATTCACTGTTGGGAAGAGTCTGAAGGGCAGTAGGGAAGGCAGGTCTCCTGATGCCTGGTACTTCATCACTGGAAACTGAACAAACAGTCAAACTCATGCTTGGCTGTTAAATGGGAAAGACCTACCAGTATCAAAACACACACACACACACACACACACACACACTTACACTCTCCAAATGCATGCCATGACTTATATAAGTTATAACGCATGTGACAAATACATTTTGTACTACCAGGTATCTACAAATGGAAGAAAAACTGCAACTTGATGAAAGAAAGACTTTACCCATAAACCAAACTGTAGTTTTGGCATTTAAGGCTTATCTGATTGCAATCACATTATAATTGGCAAAAGAAATGGCCTTGCATGAGCAACATATTTCTTGGTACAGGGCTAATATGATAAACATGTACTTAGGCAAATGTGCAATAAAGCCACATTATACTAGTATGATGCACCTATATGATGGAGGGTTTTCCACGACGATCATGCCATACAGAACTTGGTGCAATATTAGTAGACTACGTTTAATTCTTAAACTATTGCACCCGTTTATTGTTAATTCTACGACCATCATCGTGCATCGTATGATGTACTACATGTATTATGTAACTGGGACTTAAGACAGAAGTAAAGGTAGACTTAGTTATTTGGTTATTTCGGGATATTGACATATTTCATAATGCTATCTTCCTCAAGATTGTGAGGGAAAACTACTAAGGCCATGATACACAAATGAACGGCCATGCTTCGCTTCTGACAGCTGTTTGCTCAAAATATCTCTCTAGATGTATGACCCTGGAGCAGGACAGGATTTGCAACGCCATCACAAACATCATTGTTTACGTCACCAGTGTCCTCTGAAATGTTTCTTGTTTGGTGTGAACTTTTTTTTCACAATGCAACAAAGGTGTTTCTGTTTTTACCTTCATAATGTAATCAACAATTTTCTGTGAAACATTATGTTGGTTCCTATACCAAATCCTCAGGACAAGTCATACCTGTTGACTCAGAAGAGGTACTGAGCATGAAATTCCCTCCCAATCAGATTAATCGCATCACTATTTCACAAAACTAATTTGTTTTAATTTAATGATAGCATACTTCAAGTGGCAAATCATTAACCAAAGCTCTTTTGATTGACTTAAGTGTTTGGCTCTAAAGCACCACTTTGTGAAATCTAATATTGTAAAATTACAGCATGTCCAAACTGTAGTACTGATTAGATATTATCTGACTTATTTCAACATTGAGCTGCTCCATTTCCAATTGCCCGCTTTCCTTCATCATTGGATGACAGCCTGTTAACATACCAAAGTCTGTAGTTCGCTATCTACCTGTCCCAGGACACCTGCTTAATGTAAGGATGGATGCTCAATCATTCATCTGTCCAGGGCATGAAAAATTGATTTCTACTACATGCACTGTTTTAGTGACGAAATGATGCTTGTGGAGGCTGATCTTATGTTACCTCTCCCTGTGGAGGGTGAATGGTCAGCACTCTGCTCTGTCCAAACTCTGACAAGTCCACACTCTCATGGAAGCTACACTCATCGATGTGGGCATGGCTGTTATAACCTGTAGGCAACAGGAAAAAACATTGTTCATGATTTACAGCTCCAATCTTAGCATTTAATAAAAGGAAATTAAAGAACAAGGGTGATGCTTGGTGAATTATTTAGCAACTGATGGAAACATGGCGCTAAGTACCATAAAAATTACAGGTTTAATCACATAGCAACAATTCTTCCTGTGTACAAGCATATAAAGAAGTTGGGCCTTTGGGAGAAGTGTAGGTGGGAATGGAGCAAGAACTAAGGTGGAAAAAGTAGCTAGCAAACATTCTACTTGCCAACTTTCAGGAAAGTTAATGACATTAACCATCCTGCCTTCTAGCAAGAGGTGCTCATTATCACGCCATGACAATGACACAAGGGGTAAAGAAATCCCCCTGCTCTAATTTGAATATTTTGCATGTAATAATGCTAGCAGGGGTCCTTTTCAAAGATATTGGGTTAATCAAATCTAGGTTCCCTAGAGAACTCTTAAGTCCCCCGTGTGCCCTTATGAGTAATGCAATGCTGTTCCAAGGTTAGTATGATTCAAGATTGCTTCACAAGTAAACACGATCCTCCAGTTTTCATCCAAATGATGTGTTCAAAAAGTTCAAAAGTTGGCTCCAATAACGTCCATCAACAGGTGATCAGAAGATAAAACAGCTCAGAATTTACAAAATGTATTGTACATCTACATGTGACTGGTAGAGTCATACACCCTTTTGCAGTGCAGCAGCTATGGATAGAATCTTTTGAAGATTCATTGGCAGCCTTAGTGGCAGCATGCAACAGTCCAATATCTCAACATTAGCTATTATTTCTATGTTTTAATACTTCGGGCACATGGTATCTGTACATCTGCCATACTTTCATCATTTCTTGTTACAATATAATTCATAAGTGTCAGCTGATGACAAACATAGATGGCAAGGACTCATGCTGAAGTGTGAGGTTTTACCTCGAAGGGTTCAATGTTTTACAACTACCAAATATATACAATGTATATGAAAGACTTTGGGGCATGCTGGTTTTATGGTCCCCAATACTACAAGCTGACATGCTACCTAATAGGGGTCACTGATACACACCATGCAACAAATCTGTGACAACAGACACATAAAAATCTATAAAACATTCCAAATGCTTTTTTATGCATATCAACCTCAATGTTTAGATGTTTTGCACAGAAAAAAACAACAAAGTACATTATACTAGTAAAATATTCTTCCTTCCAGTACAGTACACTTGTTCTTCCTCCTGCTTATCATCCTTGTGGACCACTCCATGCACCACTGAGCTCCACACCAGTCTATCTGCTATCAAATGTTAACGTGTCCCTAAATGCATATGTACAGCCTGCCAATCAACTTGTGGACAAAAAGGTTATGGCCACTAAAGCATGACCTGCAATAAATGCATTATCAAACCACTTGTGTGCAGATAACAGCCCATTTCCCTAAACCCCTTTGATCACAGCTGTTATCTGTGAAAAGGCATATAAATGCAATTGGAAGGATGAGTAATGGAGGAAAGACAGGGTCAGTAGCCCCTGCTGTGGCTAATGGACATCAAACCTCCGGAACAACAACTGATGGAGAGGCCACGGCCATGGCTGCCAGGCTGACTACACTCAACTTCAGAATCTAAACCTCACAGTCAGTGATAGGATGAACAGTGGTCCACTATGACTCAGGAAAATTGGTGATGGGTTGTATGACAGCAGCACAAAACCAATCTCAAAAATTTGTGCAAGGCCAAAAGTGTGATAATTTAAGATATTAAGTATCAATAAAGAAACTCTGTGTCCCAAAGAAATCCCATGTTGTGATGAAGAAAGCTTCTGAGTGTGAGTGATTATCAGTGTGAGTGAATCCAGAGGAGTGACAAGCCCTTCTGGGAGATATTGAGGATCTGAAGATTGAGACAGGCAAGTGTATTTTAAAGTCTGTCTTGGGGACATTTAGTCAGCTTCTGTGAGACTTGTTACAACTCCATGACAGTGACAGATGTTGTAACTTTCCATAAGTGAAGATGAGTCATTGCTTCTATACATCTTGTCATCTCATATGTCTGACACTGAGTGTTTCTATTACTTATAGATACCACTATGTCTTGCTAATATTATGTTCAATGAATCATATCATAAATACATCTTAAATATAGCTGCCAAGGCACTTATGGGGCATTTATGTGCAGAAAACATGAGACCATGACTTTCAAAAATCATCATTAATCAACAAAATGGCCATTTGAACAAAATATATCACTGCTCTTGGTCTTATTTTCCCTGTGATGGTACCAGATCTGAATCAGGCACTAAGCCTGGATTTTGATTTCCTCTTCTATTTATTTTTATTAGAGGGCCTGCAAGGGGGGTAGTGATTACGAATTACGCAAAATTTTCGCCGCCTATTACGAATTACGTTAAAGTCTCAGAGCTGATTACGACTTTACGATTTGCGGCTAATGTCCAATTACGAATTACGTTGATTTTTGCGAGGCTGCCAACAAATTACGAAGTCTAAAACAGCCTGATTACGCCTTACGAAAAATGGCTTGCAGGCCCTTTTATTATACACAACCACCTTATTGTCATGTTCAAATATGATCACACAATTCATGAGTACTTATGCGATATAATTTACAGGGAGGGTTTCCACTGTAAATGCAACTTAAACTTATTGTAACTTGTGTTGATTCAAGAAAACTAATATTTGAAATCCAATTCATAATCTCT